AGAGCACCTCTTGTATACTCCTGGATACAGCTGGAACGCATTCTACTAAGTGAGGTATCCCAAGAATGGAAAAACAAGCACCACATGTACTCACCATCAAACTGGTATTAGCTGATCAACATCTAAGTGCACATGTAAGAATAACATGTATTGGATGTTGGGCAAGGGGAGGGGGGAGGGAAGAGGAGGGGACGGGCATATGCACAAACAATGAGTGCGATGCGCACCTCCGGTTGAATGGACACACTTGAAGCTCGGACTTGGGGGGAAGGGAGAGTAAGGGCATCATACGTAACCTAATCATCTGTACCCCCATAACATGCTGAAATAAAAAAAAAATTATGTCCACATTTTTTGGCTTTGAAAACCTACGTTTGCCATTTCTTCCCTTTAGTATCAATCTCTTGTCAATTTCATAATATAGGCCTTCACTGTACATAAATAATTCTCTCTAAGTTACACATAGTCTTCTCTGAACAATCTTTTCCAAAGTCTCCTTTTGGCCTTAGCCAGCAATAGTTTGATTATTCCTTGATTTTCATGGCTGCTCCACACATAGACCACCACTGGTCATCTCCCTGCTGGATTCTTGGTCCTTGTCTGAATGTGTGAGTAAGTGGGAGATAGCCACAGTAGCCCTGGTACCTTCCCCAATTATCTGAGGCTCCACATCCAAAAGGACAAAGAGGGATGAAATGATGAAGCACTTAGGAGTCTTCCTGGGATTATTTCCATTAATTTATTGGATTCCTTTGAGTCACATATATATTTAGGAACTTTCCAAATAATTTCTCTAAACCTGACAATACCTCCCCTGAGAATTTCAAAAGTCACCTTAGTGATACTAAGAGGTAAGTTAGGATGCCTCTGAGTTATTAAAATAGCAGTTAGGGGAGGACCCCTCATTTGTCCTGACCACTGAGGTGTCAGCACAAAAATGAATTCAAGCTCTAAAATTATTTTTACTTTTTCTGAGTCAGCAAATAAACATGTCTTGGGTAGAAATCTCTCAAGAATATGGCAGACACTTTATAGAAATGCCAGGCAAAATACTAGCTGGGTGGGATGTAGGGAAACTGATTTTCTATTGAATGTAGTGGACAAGAGCAAGGGTTCTGGAGTCAGGCTTCTGCTTACTAGCTATGTCACCTTGAAAAAATTATTTAACCTTTTGATATTTCGGTTTCTTCATTGCTAAGATGGAAATAATAATAACTCTACCTCTTAGAGCTATCGAGAGGATTAAATAAGTTATTACACATAAAGCACTTAGAAAAGTGCCCGGCACTCAATAACTGTTAGTAAAAGTGGTATCTTGAACTTGGAGCGTGTGTATTTTACATCTTTGTTGGCTAATGGCAACAGATCAAGACTTACTTCAGGAGAAATCAGAACAGCAGAAGTTTAGTCTCAAGAACCTTGCACTCCTAAGCAGATATTTCCACTTACACAGACTCCATAAATTCTGATTATGTGACTTTATAGTAGATAGATTTAAACTATCTCTGAAATCGATTGTCTATTAAGCACTATTATTACATACCTAGGAAATATTGCTCTTGGTACAAAACATCTACTCTTCCACTTAAAAATAAGTAAATAAACAAATGGCAAAGAACATGGCACATTAGGCACATTTATATATCGAATATACCATTCTCCTTGTCAGCATATTTTAGCAAATGACAATAGCCTCCATAAATTACTTATGTGCTGCCTTCACACACAGAAAGTGAACCCCTTATCATAAAAGTACCATCCACATTTTAGCATAATTTTATAAGACTGTGACTATATTTTAAGGGAAAGTAAACAAATTTAGTTCTCCATCCAACATGCATAGAGGCTCTTTATGTTTCTGCTGGGTGATGAGGTTAATCGCCAAAGAGGATGACTCTACAAATAACATGCATTGTGTATATCCTGTCTGTGCCTGAAGTCAGAAAAGTATGGAATTTTCTCATCACTTGTGCTTTTGGACCTGTACTTTCAAAAGCATTTTCAGTGCCTAGCTCTCCAGTGCACTCCAGTGCACTCTGAGCCACACATCAATGAAATAAGCAATCTTTCCTACCTATAGGTCACGCTTCACAGGTCTGGGAGTGTCTAAGCATATGTCAGCTAGCAGAGAAATAAAGTCACAGTGACTAGAACAGCACAGGGACACAAGGAAGTTTGATTTTCAACTTGGGATCCTCAGTCAGTTCTGTGGCATGACCTCCAGTAAGGTAAAAAGGTATAATTCTACTTCATAACTGAATGAGCCTAGAGAGAAAAGTAAAAATGGGGTATCCAAAGAACAGTTGTGTTTGATTATCCAATTACATTTTTTTTTTTCTGAGACAGAGTCTCACTCTTTTGCCCGGGCTAGAGTGCCGTGGCGTCATCCTAGCTCACAGCAACCTCAAACTCCTCGGCTCAAGCGATCCTACTGCCTCAGCCTCCCAAGTAGCTGGGACTACAGGCATGCGCCACCATGCCCGGCTAATTTTTTCTATATATTTTTAGTTGTCCAATTAATTTCTTTCTATTTTTAGTAGAGACGGGGTCTAGATCTTGCTCAGGCTGGTTTCGAACTCCTGAGCTCAAACAATCCGCCCGCCTCGGCCTCCCAGAGTGCTAGGATTACAGGCGTGAGCCACCGCGCCCGGCCCCAGTTACATTTGTATTTCTGTTTTATTTGGTTTTTTTCAGTTCTTTGAGAATAGCCAAAGGGCAGTGTTTTAAAGTAGGAGATATAAATTTTGCCTTTCAATATGTTAAGTTTGAAAATCAATGAACTTTGGAGTTAGAACATAGTGCCTTGAATTCTGGCTTCTCCACTTAGGCAAACTGAAGGACTTTATAATTTGTCTCACTGACTGAAGAGGAATAAGAAGAAGTGCTTTGGTATAACAGAGCAACAAATATGGGCTTTGGGACTGGACAGACTTGAGTACATATTTTAGCTCTTCTATTTATTAGCTGCATGACTTTGATGCTATCTGACCTTACTGATCTTCATGTGTATAATTGATTAAAAAAAGGGGAAAATAACAGGTAATTTAGGGTTGTGGAAAAATTAGAGAAACAAAACAAAGGTTTTAGCATAATGCCTGTCCTATTGTATGAGCTCACTCACATGGCAACTTTTATTAATTTTAAAGTTGTTGTGAAGGTCAAACAAAATTATGTATTGAATGAAAAAGTACTTCAAAAACTTTAAAGCATTTTACATACATTATTCCTTTATTATAGAATATAAAATTTTATGAAAATGTACCTATTATATAATTATATATTTAAAGTAAATTATATAATTAAAGCACATTTAGTGATTTTTTTATAGAACCTTTATGAGTTGTTTTATTGTTATTGTCATTAGCATCATCACAGCAACATTTACTGAGCATTTGCTAAACAATTTATGTCTCATCATAATAGCAACCCTATAAAGTAGGTATTATTACTATTTTTCCCATTTTATAGATGAAGAAATGAAGATCAGAGGGATTATATAATCTCTACGTGGTTATAAACCTTGGAATTTTTCAAATTCAGGCTGATTGATTCCTATGACCTCAAACTTACCAATGTGCTTTGCTGCCTCCTTTGTGTACTAAGATAGTCAGTAAAAATGAAGAACATGACAGCTGTAATACTTACATGGATCTACAAGCTCCCCAAGGATGGAGCTGATGAGACTATGGCGAAAATAATTCAAAAGATATCTTAAATATGCTTTCTTTGAAGATAGGACAGTTCAACAAAAGCCTGACACACTTAAGTGGCCCCCCGCAGACTTACCTGTTCATGCCCATAGTATGCTGCGATGTGCAATGGAGTAAAGAAAACTGCATCTTGAATGTTGACATTAGCTCCATGTTGCAACAGCACATCAGCAGCCTGGAAAAGAAAGAGATCTTGGTTAGGAACTTCATTTGGGGCATCTGCCCATCAAAATTCAGTTTATAACCACCATGTACACATCTTCATCAGGAGTCATCCTGAAACACAACTTTCTTTCACCTCCTTTATCTAAAACATTTAATATTTTGCTTTTGCCTAAAAAATAAAGACCAAAATGTCTTAGTGTGACATTCAGGGTCCCTTCAGTCTGATTATATCATTTTATAATATATTTCCCATTAGTCTCTTTCATAAACCCAATTTTGTATTCAAACTGTTTCAAGTTTCCTGCTTCTTTGAAACTATATTCATACTATTTCTTCAGCCAGAAATTCCCTTCTGCCCAATATACAGATGTTTAAACTCCAGCTAAATCTTGCCAGTTCCTCCCAGATTTCCTTGATTTCCCTCCTTTCATTGCCATCTGCCTGGCTGAAATTAAATATTCCCTTCTGTTAAATCTCATGCAACTTTCATTCATGTAATTTAGAACATTTTTTTATTACGTACATGCCTTATCATCCCTACTAAGGAGTAAATTCTTTAAGGAAAAAGTGTATATTGAATTCATTTTTATAATCTTACTCTAGCATGTTGTCATGCAAATAGTAATCACTCAATAAACATTAGTTAAATAAATGAATGAATTAATGAGCAAGTTAAAACACTACCATGAACTGTTGGCCAATTGTCTTCATGGAAAGCCATAGATTAGCAATCATAGGGGAGGAAAAAAATTATTTTTCCTTTACCCATTCTAGGTTCATGAGCTGGGGCCCTGTAAATTAGACCGACAAAAGACAGATAAATGAGAGAAAAATAAACAGAAGTCTATTAACATGTACATAGCACATACACTTAGGAATACTCAGTGATGAGTAATTCTAAGTGGTAGTTAGAAATTGAGCTTATATATTATAGTATCTTAACAAAAATTTATAATAAATTTTGTAGAGAAGTAATAAGACATGGAAAAGGACTTTTGAGCTTCTAGGGGCAGCAAATTGGGAGAAAGTAAATATACAGAGAAAACTAATGGAAGATAAAGGCTAGTTTTAGCAAAGTTTGTAATGTAGATTCCTCAATCCGGTGCTTTCTCTGGGCAGATAAGGGTCTTCGTCTGGAGTTGCCCTTGATGATTAACTTTCTCTATGACTGAAATGGGGAGACCTTTTCAGGGTTTTGAGCAGAGAAGTGACATGACTGACTCATATTTTTGAAGGATTGATTTAGCTGTTGTGTTGAGAATAGACTATGGGGGATGAGGTTAGAAGAGAGCAGACATATTATTAGAGTCTATTCTGGTAATCCAATCAAGACATGACGTGGTGTGGACCAGGGTAGCAGGCATGGAGCAGGAAAGAGTGCTACAAATCTGGATGTATTCCATAGAGCCAACAGATGCTGTTGATGGATTAGATGTGTAATGAGAGAAGGAGACATGTCAAAGATCACCCCGAGGTTTGGGCCTGAACAAATGGAAGGGTGCTGAGTTGGGGAAAGATCAACTCAGATGAAGAAGACAAATGGCTGAACAGACTTGTGGAGGAGAGGGTTAGATCAGGAGTTTAGTTTTGGAAATGTGACTTCGGGTTAGCATTAATTTAAAGTCAACATCTAGTAATTCCTAAAAGGTTCACATTTTCCCTTTCCTTGGCCTAGAGGAAGATACATAGTATGTACTGCTGGCAGTGCTTCAAGGTCCCTCTGTAAAGAACCTGGCCTCCTGTTCCATCAGGGCTTCAGGTCTGTGAACCGGCTTAGAAGATCTGGAAATCAGCTCAGAGGCTGAAATGTTCTCTTATGACAACAATTCAAGTTCCATCCCTCCTGGTAAAGGAAAAGGAGAGATACCTTTACAAATTTATGTCCCCCTTTTAGGCAAATAGGGGGAGAGCAAAGAGCTTTTCTTACATCTGTTTCTTTTCAATTTTTTGTAGCTAAAAATAACCAATATGTCAAAGTAGCATATTTTGATGTAGCATATTTTGTTATCCTTCACAGTAAACCTGCAGAATATATATTCTTGTCATCAGCACATGGAACATTTTCCAAGATAGACCATATGTTAGGCCACAAAACAAATCTCAGCAAATTGACAAAAATTGAAATCATACCATATATCTTCTCAGACCACCATGGAATAAAACTAGAAATCAATTCAAGAGGAACTCTCAAAACTACACAAATACATGGAAATTAAACAACGTGCTGCTGAAAGATCTTTGGGTCAATGATTAAATCAAGATGGAAATAAAAAAAATTGTATTGAATGACAATGGCAACAGAAGCTACCAAAATCTCTGGGATACAGACAAAGCAGTGCTAAGAGGGAAGTTCATAGCACTAAATGCCTAAGTCAAAAGAACATAAAGACTCCAAATCAACAACCTAATGTCACAACTCCAGAAATTACAAAAACAAGAACAAGCCAAACCTAAACCTAGCAGAATACAAGAAATAAAGATCAGAGCAGAACTAAATGAAATTGAAACTAAAAAAGAATACAAAGAATCGATGAAATGAGATGTTGGTTCATTGAATAGATAACAAAATCAACAGAGCACTAGCTAGATTAACCAATAAAAGAGAGAGAGGATTTAAACAAGCTCAACCAGAAATGTAAAAGGAGACATTACAACTGACATCACAGAAATAAAAATGATCATCTGAGACGTCTATGAATACCTCTATGCACACAAACTAGAAAATTAAGGGGAAATGGATAAATTTTTGTAAACATATGATCTGCCAAGTTTGAATCAGAAGAAATAGAAATCCTGAACAGACCAATGATGGGTGAGATTCAAACAGTAATAATAATAATAATTATAATAATTAAAAAAAAAATCTCCCAATAACAACAAAAAAAGCGCAGTACCAGATAGATTCACAGCCAAATTCCACCAGACCTACAAAGAACTAGTACCTATTCTACTGAAACTGTCCCATTACATTGGAAAGGAAAGAATTCTCCCTAACTCATTCTATGAAGCCAGTATCACCATGGTATCAAAGCCAGGAAAGGACACAACAAAAAAAGCAAACTACAAATTTTTATACCTCTTGAATGTAGATGCAAAAATCCTTTATAAAATAGTAGCAAACTGAATTCAATATCACATCAAAAAACGAATTCCCCATGAACAACGGGGTTTCATCCCAGGAGTGCAAGGGTGTTTCAACATATGGACATCAATACATGTGATTAATCACATACATAAAATTTAAAACAAAAATCATATGATCATCTAAACAGATGCAGAAAAAGCATTCAATAAAATCCAGCACCCCTTTATGATAACAACTCATAACAAACTTGGCAGAGAAAGAACATACCTCAAAATAATAAAAGCCATATATGACAAACCCACAGCCAACCAACATCATAACGAATGGGGTAAAGTTAAAATCATTCCCCCTATGCACTGAAACAAGGCAAGGATGCCTACTTTCATCACTCCTATTCAACATAGTAGTGGAAGTCCTAGCCAGAGCAATCAGGCAAGAGAAAGAAATAAAGGCATCCAAATTGGAAAAGAGGAAGTCAAACTATACCTATTTGCCAACAATATAATGTTATACCTAGAAAACTCTAAAGACCCCTACAAGACTTCTAGAATTGATAAACAAATTTGCTAAACTCCAGGTTACAAAATTAACACAAAAAAATCAGTAGCATTTTATACACTAATAACCAAGCTAAGAATCAAATCAAGAACTCATCTCATTTACCATAGCTACAAAAAACAAACAAACGAACAAACAAAAAAATGTCTAGGAATATATTTAACAAAAGAGGTAAAAGACCTCTACAAAGAGAACTACAAAACATTAATGAAAGAAATCATAGATGGCACAAGCAAATGCAAAAATATCCCATGCTTATGGATTGGAAGAATCAATATTGTTAAAATGTCCAAATTTCCCAAAGCAATCTACAGATTCAATGCAATTCTTATCAAAATATGAACATTATTTTTATAGAATTAGGAAAAACAACTCTAAAATTTATATGGAACCAAAAAAGAGCACAAATAGCCAAAGCAATCCCAAGCAAAAAGAAGAAAGATGAGGGCATTTCATTACCTGACTTCAAATTACACAACAAGGCAATAGTAACCAAAACAGCCTGGTACTTGTATAAAAGTAGACACACAGACCAATAGAACAGAATAGAGAACCCAGAAAAAAAGCCAAATACTTGCAACCAACTGATCTTTTACAAAACAGACAAAAGCTTATACTGGGGAAAGGACAGACTATTCAATAAATGGTGCTTGGAAAATTGGCCTCATGCAGAAGAATGAAACTGAATCCCTCACAATATACAAAAATTAACTCAGGATGGATCAAAGATTTAAATGTGACACCTGACACCATAAAAATATTAGAAAGAAACATAGGAAATACTATTCTTGACATTGGCCTAGTAAAGAATTTATGACTAAGATCCCAAAAGCAAATACAACAAAAACAAAAATAAATAAATGGGACTTAATTAAACTAAAAGACTTCTTCACAGCGAAAGATATAATCCACAGAGAAAATAGACACCCTATCATATGGGAGAAAATATTCACAAGTTATACATTTGACAAAGACCTAATATTCTACATCTATAAAGAGATCAAATCAGCAAGAAAAAAAACAAATAACCTCATTAAAATGTGGGCGAAACACATGAACAGACATTTTTCCAAAAAACAGAAACAAATGGCCAACAAACATATGAAAAATGCTCAACATCACTAATCATTAGGGAAACGAAAATTAAAACCACACTGAGATGCCACTTTACCCCTGTCAGAATGGCCATTATAAAAAATCAAAAAAACAATAGATGCTGACACTGATGCAGTGAAAAGGGAACACTTATACATTGTTGGTGGAAACGTAAATTAGTACAACCTCTATAGAAAAAGAGTATGGAGATTTTTCAAAGAACTAAAAGTAGATTTACCATTTGATCCAGGAATCCCTCTACTGGGATTCTT